GGAAGTCAGGAGAAAACCAGTTAATGAGACATCACATGCAATGTGACAGAGAAAATGAAATGGCAAACCTGTCTGCAGCCATCACTGGAAGCAAATGACACCAACACAGTTCAAGTTGACCAGAAATGGGAATAACTCACAAATATATACTGATGATTACTGTAGAGAGGGAAAAGATAGCACAGAGATTAAAGGACTTAAAGTCTGAAGGGGGGGAAACCCCTTAACCACTCCCCTTCCTATCTCCTGGGAGAGACATAAGGACATAAGCAGCTCAGACAGATTAGACCAAAAAGATTAGGAAGGAATGACAGGAGAAATGTAAAGAACAGCTCCATATGGAAACAGCAAGTGGTGGAGAAACGTGCAAAACAGGTCTTAAAAATAGGTGATGACAACGCTTAGGCACACACTGTGGTAATTCATATTAGGCCAGGTCTCAAATGATCTTTATATGTAAAATGTTATTAAATGGAACCTATTGTTTAACTTGTATATGGTGCAGGGTTGCCTCCGTATCATCCCTGATTCAACCAAAACAACTGATATGTTTAGAGTTAGATTATGTTCTGAGTCCCATTACATTTAATATAAATTTGGCACATACTTATTTCAAGTTTTTTGCTGAATATCGTCTTAAAAACAAAGTGAAAGACGTAACTGCGGTGGATATTTATGGAGTGGCTTGTACTAATGAAGAAAATTCTTGATACATAAAGAGCTTTTAATACTCTGTTTCAGAGAAACAAAATTATTTTCCTATAACTTCAAATCTTTTCAGGAATATGAAAACCAGTCTACTGCAGAAGCCAAGTTTGTAAAACAGTTGGATCAGTGTGAGATGATACTACAAGCATTTGAGTATGAAGAGTTGGAAAACACACCTGGCAGATTGCAAGATTTTTATGATTCAACTGCTGGTATGACATTTGGGCTTTTTATTTTTCCTCTCTCATAAATGAAATAGATAAATTGCCTTTTTTTCTGACAGATATTCAGAGCAAGTGAGAACTAGTTATTTTACTCATTGCTCAAGTACCCTAAATATTTTGAGGAAAACTTAATGCAGTGTGAAAATACCTTATATTTATAGATATTGAGCCTGAAATTCATTTATGCCAAATTCCTTTTAGATCACTTTTTATCTAGACAGAGGCCCAGCTTTCATTACACTTGCATGGGTTTAAGGAATTGCCTGAAACATCAGAGGGGGCTTAAAGGAGTCTTCAGCCTTCACAGATGCTCTGACAGCAGCTTGTTTCTACTTTTTTAGTGTTTCATGCGCCAGTGAAGTAGCATTTGTTATCTCTACGTGAGCTGTGGTTGTGTGTAACCTGCCCAAGGTTCATGTATGTGAGAACCACCTCAGTGAAATGGTTTAGCTACAATTGTATTACCTTTTATTCTATCCATTGCTTTTCATCCTTTGCAAAATAAACTGATAGTTGAAAGGAGAAATAGGTGAAATAATAATCTTTATAATTTTAGCAAGGGAGCTGAACACCAGAAGAGAACTTGTGACTAAGTCAGCCAGTCCTGGAAAAAAACTAGGGGTAGACAAACTCAGGAAGAGGACTAGCAGTTACCAGACACTTCCTGACAAGTCCCATTTATACTTTAGTGACTCCTCAGGAAAATAATAAGCTCTCTGAAAAATGTAATAATTTGATTAGGGAAGATGGAAAAAAAGGACAACATGAACAAAGCTGGAATACTTAATTTTCTAACTGACATCTTTGCCCTCCTACCACAATTCAGTAAACTAAACTGAGCTGCTGTCTGAGTAGAGCCTACAGCATACACCCCAAGTGCACCTGTAATTGGAGTGGTTTCCTGTAGCAGTATACATGGTATCGGATTATCTTGGTCAGGGTGTATCCCTTTTTCAGCTCTTAAGGTCTTAATATGGCACAAAATATAAGCTTTTTGGTAAGAAGGGCTGTAACTACTCTTACTCCATAGTTGGATCAAACTGGGAGTATTCACTTTCTTAAATAATTTGACATTTATTCTGAGCCTGAAGTGACATCACTGCTGTCATTCCAGTGCCAGCCTTTCACATGTGGGAAAATGACAGCCTTATTCATTAAATTTCCCTTTCTTTTGTTTTGCAGGAAAGTTTTTTCACCCAGAAATACTTCGGCTTGTATCTCTGATTAACACAGAAAGGAATAAAAAAATAGCTGCTACATCTCGTCCACATTCCTGAGGTGTTCTTAAATGCTGTAGCTATAATAAATACTTTGTTTTATATTCTGTGCATTATGTTTCCTTCTGTAAGATCACTGATTCTGCCAGCAGATTTTTTTCCTGTGCATTCTTGCTGAGAATCCGAGGACCACTTAGATACGAGCAGGGAGCATAGTTAGATCAGAGTTTGTGTCAAGGACCAAATATTTAGAATTATCTTGTTTGGGTTTTTCCTTTTTTTTTTTTTTTAAATCAGCCTTTGATTAATGCAGTCTCAGTTACAAATAGATTCTCCGCTGGGGAAATTCAAGTAGGTTTAAAAATTAGCTGATTGCAATCTAATCAGTTCATGTAATGCACTGTGTATGTCTTCTTCTGTGACTTCCAAGTATGTATGGATTTAATTACCTTTCAGTGGGTTAATATCCACTCACAGTGCTACACAGAAATGAGACCAATGAGCACGTTCCTCTACGAGCTCTTGACTGAGCCTAGAGATGAGATTTCTTTTGAGTACATAAGCCTTAAGAAGTGATGGTGGATAAAATTGGTAATCTCATTAATTATATTTTCTCATTATCTTCATTGTTTCATAGGACTTTCCAACTGTTCATGTGCTGTGTCAAGGACTGGTGCCAACATTTCCATAATTCCAATATTCCTTACTCCCCCTCAGCCAAGACTGGCAGTTTTACAGACTCTTTGACAGGTGATTGATAATCACAGAATAGCTGAGGTTGGGAGCGACCTTTGGTGTTTGTGCAGTCTAACACAGAAGCCTCTATACCTGTGTAAAGCTGGTTCCCTTCTTCTGGCTGTTACACACTGGTACTGATTCTGCCGTAAATGAGTTTCTGGCAGAAGTAATATTGCCAGTGTAGAAGTACAGAATGATTGGGAAGTAAAGCTGTAGTGATGGTAAATGCCATAATGAGGCCAGTGTCTGCACAGCCAACTGCTGAGTTGTGTGCAGCTGGAGATTAAGGCAATGTCATGATTACCAAGTAAGCAAAGTTTGCACCTGGAAAATTTACATGGTCGAGAACTGGAGCTCGCTTCTCTGTCTTCCGCCTCATGTCAAATGAAGAAGCATAAAACTAAATTCAATTGTCATCCAGTTTAAAGATAGGTAATGTAGCTGAGCACACATTTTCAGGCACCATGACTCAGGAAATGTTTCCTTTATGCAAACCTCAGGGGCCTGACCAAAGCTTGTGTAGCGTTCTGCAGCTGGTGCCTTTGGCAGAGGGACAGAGTGCTGGGCACAGCTGCTGGGAGCTCTTGCTTTAGGGGTTGGCACAGTGCACAAAATCTGCAGAGCATATTGGTCTGGTCCAGAGGAGATGTGAGATGCCTGATCTGTAAGGAACCCCACAAGGGAGCAGTTGTGCCCTGTGGAAACCCTGGAAGAACAGGTTGTGCTTTGCTGAGCAATAGGAAAGTGGTTATTGGCAACAGACAGTCATACTGCCAGTGGGATGGAGTGGGGCCCACTGAGCTCTCTTCAGCATATTTATTCCACCAAGATGCACACAGATTGTAGTCTCTTAGTTTGCACTGAATGCTGAGCGTGAAAGAGCTCAGATGCATTGAAAGACAGAACTGAGAACATTCTTAACAAACCACAAAAGTGGCCTTGAAGAGATGCTTGGTAGAAACATACACAGCACAAGCGCTACCCTAAACGGGAACAGTTCATTCCTGCAATGAAGTAAGGAAGCTTCCCTGTTCTGCAGGGGATATAGGGGACAGTGTGAAACCCCAGTGCAGTGGTGCTAGCCTGAGAAATGGAGACATGGTTTGGGTGTGCATTGCGTGGGGTTTGGTTTTAAACAAATGCAACAGGTAGTTTGTGTAAAATTACATTCCCTTCTACTTGCTGCCATTGCAATCCTATGTCAGTTTTGGACACTGCATTGTAACAGAAACAGGAGTTAGTTGGAAGGAGATGGGAGAAGAAGGTGTGATCAGAAAGCATGAGCTGTGATGACAGGTTGATAGGTTAGCAAAAAGCCTGTGGCATTTCAGGCTTCCTAATGCAGTTCTAAAGTGCACTACTCACCTGTAGGAAAAGGTGCTGGACCTCATGACCTGCAAGAGGAACTTGCCTCCTCCTTTGTCTTTCTCCTGATCTGTTCATATCAGCATTGACCCTACACCTAGTGGCAGCTGCTGTCATGACAGCAACATTTAAGAATTTGTATGGATGGAAGTGAAGCTTGCCTGGCCAGCCTACCTCCACTAGCACTCTTGAAATTATGCTCTTAATGAATGCAATTAAATGCAATTTACTGATCCCCAGAAGTATTTTCAATGTGTATACATACATACATAAATAAATAAAATGAGGTCTAAATTAGTGTCCCCACAGTGTTTGGACTCCATGTTTTGACCTTGGTTTGGCTGCTGGCCCCGCTCAAAAGGTCAGTGGTTTTAGACCTAGATGTTTTCTGCCATGCATTTCACTTTTATTGAACTTAGTTCAAGTATGTTTCTCCATTGAACCTCAGACTTTTCAAAACTTGGGCCCCAGATTTTTCATGGGGAATTTCAGGCCCAAAAGAAACTGAACAGATTTTAAAAACTGTAAGTAATAATAGCAGATTATGTTCATGCAATTTACCTTGATATTCTTCCATGAAATAGCAAGGCTTATAGATGCACAGTAATCATAGAATCATAGAATGGTTTGGGTTGGAAGGGACTTTTAAGACCATCTAGTTCCAACCCCCACTGCCATGGGCAGGGACACCTCCCACTAGACCAGGTTGCTCAGTACTACTAGTAAACACAGAATTAAAACATCACAAAGGGTAAAAGAGTAAGAGAGAAATTTATTTTTAATAAGAATATCAAGAACTTCATTTACACAAACTAGACCATTAATAGCTTACATTTTAAATAAATACACATTTATGCACAAAACCACATAAAATAAGCTAGAAAATTGTCACAAGAATACTAGATAAGCATAATTAGATTTGCTTCCATGCTAAAAATCACACTAAAGAGGCATGTGATATAAATGTCCAAAGTTAACTTATGTCCAGTAGAACATTACAAAAGGACTTTCAACTTTGTAAAAATTACCAAAAGCCAGACGGGGAAAAAAAAAAAATCACTTAAAGCCAAGTTTTCTCACAAAATTTTAAGCAGTCTGTAATGTCAAACTCACTAACACTGATTTGAAGCTTTGGCATATGCTCAAAAAATGCATCCATTTTCAAAGTAGCCAGGCTCTTTTCCATCTTGTTTATTGATAACATTGTGCTCTCCTCAATCTGGTGAACTGAATAATGCAACATGCATACTGACACGTGCTCACTAGACAGCCAGATAGTGTCACAAACATGCTGCTCTTTCCTTAGAAAAAATGTTAGAAGAATGCAAGAAAGCATGCTGAATCAAAGCTGATAGATGCCTGGCTCTTGGTGACTGAGCAGAGATAACGCAGTTGGTGGAATTATGTCCCAGAGCGAAGCATGACAAAATTTGACACCAAGAGTGAAGTTTTTACTCATCCGGTATATTGTGAGATGACAGGGTCTATCCTAGCAGCTCTGAAATGCAGCCTGAAGGCATGGGCTCTCTAACCTATGGCACATCTGAAGCCAGTTGTTGGGTTTGTATTCTTTCACTTAAGGCTGTAGCTTGACTGAAGCTCATAAATACCTTCCCTTATTTTTGAGGGTAAGATATGGAGGCAAAAATATTAGAGGTTTCCTCCGCTCCACTTGATTTTGTAATTAACTTATACTGTCAAGCCTTACCAAACCATAGAGAGCAAGCAACAGTACATATTTCTAAACTGAAACTTTTCCAGCCACAGTGACCATCTTGAATCCAGAGCTGTGATCAGTTCAGTTTCTGCATGAATAACTGGGCGTCTCTTCCTGTCCTCCTTAACTCTGCCGATTAACAGGTGGAAGGCAATGCCAGACTGTACCAGTGAAGGAGAAAAAATTTTTTGTGACAATAAGTGGTTTTAATTCTGTTAGGAAACAGATCATGTACTGAAACTCCTGAACAAAGGGCACCTGGTATGGCTGGTAGACAGCTGGTGTAGGGGCTACTGCTGGCAGTTGAAAGCTTAGCACAGCTCTAGGTCCATCTGTCTGATGTGGCACTGAGAGGGGATCCGGAAACCAACACATACAAAAGAGTAAACTAAAAGAGTTAAGAAACAGGAACTGGGAGACTGTTGGAGGGAAGTCATGTGAAAATGAAAACTATGTTAGTCACTTAACACAGAATTTAGTGCATTATAGCCAATGACTGGTGTGTGGTTTTGGTGATGTACAAAGTACCTGGCGCTAAAATGGCCCATCTAAAATAGAAATAGGGAGAGGAAACATTTCTCCAACACAAGGCCAGGGAGGCAGTTTTCCAAAGCTGACAAAACCTTGTTGCACAAGCTGTGTGGTGAGAGAAGGTTGCAAATCACTGTCTGGGCAAGTCTCTGAAGAGAAGTATGTGGGGCTCAGGAGGGCCTGAAGCTTAACACTGAAGCTCTTCTTCACTCTCAGGAAGTCGGGTACCAGCAAGAGAGCTCTGAGCGCTGGCATGGGCTGTAGAGCTGAGAACTTCTTCAAAACTGCCTCCTGTGTGGCTTGTCCCACCAACCTTGGTCTGAAACAAGGCAAACAGAAAACAGAAAGTTCTTCTGTTCACACTGAAGCAAGTCCCATTTGCATTCCACCCCATGGTCATGGAGAGCTGGGAACTGTTCAGGCATAGAACAGGTAGGATGTTTTTTTCTTAGAACAACAGATACAAAAACAGTCAAATAAAGCAAATTCTTTCCTCCCCCAATTTCTAAACTAGGCTGCCATTGTAAAATCTGCCAGTGGCATGTCTCACACACTTAAAGGAACCAGTCCCTAAGCAGATCCCAGGCAGAATCCTAGACCCTACCACTAAACCCAGTGTGGTTATCTATGTGAGTAGCTCACACTGGTTTCACTGTTTTTTTCTAGTTCTATGAAACCTGGATAAGAGATGGGTATTAAAATGAACTGGTTCATTTGCTGAGTAAAGTGGCCCATCCGCCTGCAATGGTAACACACCTTCTCGCAAAATACATAAACCGTACTGGGATTTTGGACAGCAGAAGGAATGTAGTAACCAAAGAACAAACCTAGCAGCTTGTCTCCCTTCAGGCTATATATCTATCTACATAGATATTGATATACAAAACTGCCTGCAGCATTTTCATTGAGGAAGGCGGTGAAGAGATATCAAATTACATTAATGAAGTGTATGACAACGTGCTTGCACATCTACTTCAGGTCACTGAATTTGTAAATGTAGTAAAAATAAAAACCAGTAAGACTTAATCTCTGAAAAAGAGTTTTCCTAACAAAGACAGAGCTTTATCTAAAGATTTGGAAATGACCAAGCCAAAGTGACGAAGAGACAAAGCTGTTTTGACTAGGTTGTCTTGGTAAGAAAATGTTCTTTTGTGGCTTGCCCACTCAAAGTTGACTCAAGTCTGAAAACAGGGCAAAAACTCTGTACTCCATCCTAGAATTGTAGCAGGACTTAAAGACAAGCTGTCATTTTTTGAGCCTGTCAGCCACTGAATGCTCAAGAAGGTTATTTTAATTAAATGAACTTTGTGTCCTAAGTTTCCAAAGGGTTAATCCTATGTAATCCTTTGTTTCTTTAGCTAGCTCAGCAGTTTGCCTAGCTTGAAAGTCCAATAAAATAAGGTAGTAGTGGGCTTGATATTTGCTCTGACAGTTTGAGTCACTGATTAAAAGTTCCCATCTCAAGAGGTAAAAATCTGTATCCAGTCTAGTTTGAGAAGGTGTCGGTCCATCACTAATTTTTGCAAACAGCAATATGAAATACATGTATTGTTAAATGCTGGTGGGCCCAGAATTTCCAGCAAAAAGGCAGCTACTGCCTAGTAAAGCTAGTATTAAGTTTTTATGGCAAGAGTCATGACTTTTATTTGCCAATTAAAATTCTCAAAAGAACATTGATTCAGACTAATCAGGGTGATTGTGAAAGTAAACTATTCCTGCATTGCTTCAAATGACTCAGATAAGGTGCATCTTGATTTGGACACCTCAAAATAAGAAACATTAATGCAATTTCATTTTCTTTTTCTTTCATTTGTTTTTCTGCCTACTCTTCCATCCAAAACTAAGAATGAGGAAAGTCACTTCACTGGCCAGTACCCCAGTGTTTATGCAAATATTTAATTCACCAGTGTTCAGATTTTCAGAAAAGCTGAAAAGAACGAGGTGCTGTTTGATTACTAGGGGGAAACTAATACATTCTCCCAAGAAAGCTGCAACCCAAAGACCAAACTCCAAGAGCAAATCAAATTTATTTTTAAATTTGACTTCTAAATGTATGAAATCTGAACATCAATTTTGGCTAATATAGGGGATAGGAGGGACATGATAAGACTGCTGCTGTCCTTTTCTTTTTTTTCAGAAGCCTCTCTGGGAAGTTCTCCACTTTTTCAGACCACAACAGGATCCTAGAATTGAAGAGGAACCACATGATTTCTCCCCCCATCCCCCAGTCCTCCTAATCTTACAAGGCTTGGAAAAGAGGCAGGCAAAAGGAAGAACAGTAATGAGACATTCCCATTTGTGCATAGTCTATACTGGTGGCACCCTAGGTCCATAACTCCAGCTTCCCCATTTGCAGAAGGAAATGAAAGAAAGAATGAGAAAACAGACAGAAAATATTTCAGAAAATGCTAGTGGGTTTGCCAATGGACAATGAATTATTTCAGACTCAAAACTTACTGTATTGTCCTGCTTAATTAGAGCTTCCTTAAAGGATGATCTAAGAGCACTCTGAACACAGCAGGCTGAGCTGGCCTGACAAATAGTCTCCTCTAGAACACCTTTGCTTAATCAGCAGAGTAAGTTCTGCCTCCTCAAGTGAAACACTGTGAGAGGAAATGGTCTTCAGAGCTGTGCAGTTTGAACTGACTTTTTCTGAATCACACTGAGGTGATTGGAAACAGACACCCCTCCTTTGATGCAGAAAGAACATCACTCACAATTGTCCTTTATCCCTGAAAGCAAGGTGTTAAGCTGTCTCTCTCAAAGGTTCGCCTGTGTGTAGGAAGTATGGATTTCTGGAGTCTAGAGTAGTCTAGATGCAAACTTGGGAGCTAGAAGTACTACTGAAAGCCCCGAGAGTAGGTTTAGTGACTAAATGGATACAAAAAGTGCTGCACTTCTGCTGGTGAAAAATGGGGGAAAAAAACCCCAACAAACCCCCCTCTAAAAAAATCCCCAACCAACCAACCCCAAAAATTTCAGACTTCAGGTGTTCCAGTGAGATGCATCCCTTATATCAATGGGTAGAAGGAACACAAAGTGATATATGCAAGCAATAGGCTTGACTGCAACAGACAGGAATTCAGATCTTCTAAGCTGATGCACCCCACTGCATGAATGATTCCTCCTACAGTAAGGATGACTATAAAACACATTTGCAGCTAAAGTAAAAAGAATAGGAAAGCGTATACAGGCACTGTGCTGGGGCTCTGGGGGTCTGAGTTCTGTTCTAGCTCCTCCTCCTAGACACACCCAGTCTTTCCTGGGATGCTGCCTCCCACCTGTGAAACTGAGATGACTGTTCCTTCTCTGACACAGTGCAACGAAGATGAAATTGCCCTACACCATCATGACCTAAAGTTGTAGAACAATCTATCACTAAATAAACATGAACACTCAAAATCTGAAAATGATAAAGCATTCTATCACAGCCATAAATGCCATGTTATGAACACACTTGACTTTATCTGATCAACAAGAACCATTAGGAGACAAACCCTCATGTTGCCCCTTTGTGCCTCACCATGCAGCAAAGATTAGCTAACTGCAAATTTGCCATGCTCTGACCTGCTTAACTAGTGCTGCCTTAACTAGTGCTGCCTGGTAACTTTGCCATTAGATGTTCCTCTCCTGCAGCAAATATGTCAATATAGTTTTGAAATTTTAAATCCAGATAAAACATTTAAATTTTAAAGGAAATACACCTGCAGACAAAGAAAGACGAGTTAGTGGCTTAGTGGCTAAGGGCCACTAAGAGGGTAGTATTAATCACACCTGAGTTACATGACAGCTCTCACTACTGTTTTTGGCATTTCTGAGACCAGTTGCTCACATTGGCAGGCAACAGAAATAATTTCTTACTAACAAAGCAGAGAAAGGCAGTTTCTTTGCATATTGCTTTCATTCTCCATATTGCTTTCATTTTCCATTAGTGCTCTTGCAGTTCCATGAAATTCTTGATGGAACAGCAAATTCAACTGGTCTCCTGTACAAATGACAGGGACAACTAAGGTGTCACACTTTAACACACACAGCCATGTAACTCTGCCCCTAATCTTTACCTTAAGGCTTGTGACAGTGGTTTCAACCTTCTCCTCAAATGATTTGAAAGTTGGAGAATTCCTACGAGAAAAAAAAAAAAAGTTGAAGGAAGGAAAAAGAGTCAGTTGCAAACATCATGGGATAACACCACAATTTGATCAGTTCTTACCAGGCAACAATGCCAGGACAGAATGAAGGCTGCCTGGCAGCACATGGCTATAGGCTGATAAGCTATGAACACTCAACTTGTGCTCTGTCAGTCAAATCCAATTACGATAATCGGATGAGTATTTTTTAGCTACAAATTTGCAAAAGCAGAACCTGCCTAGTAATGGAAAACAAATGGTGACTGGCCTGCCTACTCTGTGATACATTTATCATGCTCTCAGAAGAACAGCCTTAGAATGGGGGCTGTAGGGCTGCATTTCTATGGTTTTATCATTTCTGTTGTAGCTTTATACATTTGTGTTGTTGCTGTAAACAAATGAACATTTTTTTTTTCAGCTGATGAGCAAGTTCGTAACCTACATTATTAAAAACATGACAAGTGTAATGTCCTGAAGATGGGAAGAAGGAGATTAGACCTACATAGGAAGTGGGTCCCAAATGCCTTTGAGGAATCCTGACTCCCCCCCTCTGCAGATGTATCCTGCTGCTTTCAAAGACAAAGACTTTAGGGAGACTCTGTGCCTAAGGTGCCTCTCTGACAAACCTAAGCTTTTCTCTGTGTTCAGCCAGCACAAAGGACTTGGGCAAATCTACAGTGGCTAAAGGGGACCTTCTGCTTCTCTGCTCCTTGCTTGACACCTGAGAGCTCAATTATAGTGCTTCATACATTGTGCTTCATAATTAGTGAAGGCTCTGCAGCTCAGACGCTGATGTCCAGCACAGTTCCTATTTCTGCAAATACATTTGCATCATATCCCTCATCAGGCTAAGTTAAAATGACCCTAATTTAAGGAAAGGGAAAACAGAAGCCAGTTGGAAAAATGATGTAGATTTTGTTCCGGTTAATTAGATGACAAATTTTTCATAGGGCAAGAAGGGTCAAAAGGAGAGAGAAACTGAGTTTTATGACTTGCATTTGACCCATAGGTCACATCAGTGGGTGAATGCTTGCCTTAAACTATTCACCTGATGAAGCTGAAGGAATTAGCATCCATCATATAGTTAGGAGATTTGTTTTTCCCACATGCTTGGCAAGGAGGGGGGATATTCCTATATCTACAGGCCAAAGGAGTAAAAAGAAAGCTGGATTCTAATTTTATTGAAAAAATAGTCAGAGCTTTACTTGAACAGATGTCAATATTGGGCTGCAGTCAAGTAAAGCATGATTATAGCCATTAAAATATGAAAGCACTCATGTAAAATCCCTCCATAGGAGCATGATCCACAGCCTGTTCGAGTGGAAAGCATCTCTGACATTAATGGGCTTTGGACAATGTTCTAGAGACAGCAAAACAACTGAATTTCAGATTCAGTAATACAAACCTTATAACAATCAGCTACTGAAATATATCTCAGAACTGCTTCATTTACTCAAAGGCTTGTACAAGAGATTACACATTTAATACAATTAAAATAAAAAAAAACAACCAAAACAGATGGCCTGTCCTGCAGCCCTCATCTACATGAATAACCTTAATTGATTGAAATGAGACTATTCATCTAACTAAAAACTGCAGGATCAGGATCAAAGTATGCAAATACCCCTTCATTACACTGCTGAACATTATCATAGCAACAGAATATGGGTAGCATATTACCTCATTGCAGGCATGCTTATGGAATGGCGAATAGAGTAGCTGTAGGACAAAGATAAAAAATAAAGAAAAAAGCTGTAAAATCCAATTTCCAACATGATTATAATATATTTTTTTAAATTAACTTTAAATGTACATATACATATTTTCAAGAGTGCTGGTTTTCTTCCTCTCCTGATGGCAAGAGCTTGTCAAATTCACTTGTGAACTCCAGCTCACTCTCAGCACTAAAGATCTTGCTACCTCATTCTCGTGTCAACTGATCAGCAGTGGGGCTCAAAACAATGATGCAAAACGGTTCCTGGAAATATCCATTTAAATGCTATCTAGAGAGACACACAACATGTGAGAGTGGAATAGAGAGCCATCCCTGTGACTCGCAGTGACAGGGGATAAGCTCTGTGTTGGGCAAGTGCAGCACACCTTGGGTCTGTGAACATTCACAGAGCTGGCTCAAGGCAGTAGGTGACCAGGCAATTGCCTTTGCTGCATGTGCAACATATACAGTCTAAACAGCCAGTGCTGACTCCCAATTTGAACACGCTCCTGCACAACTGGATACCTAAACAGCTACCTTCAACCAGAGAGGCAGCACTCTCAGTTGTCCACATCTCTCTCAGATGTTTCACCTCCTCCTTCACCCCTCAACTTTACCAAAGGTAGGAAGCTGTTTTCCACAGCTCTCATCCAGCTCTCCTTATGACACTTCCCTCCTCAGACTTCCCAGCAGCAAGAGTATTGGAAGGTTGCAAGCAGAGGATGGAGCCTCTGCATCAAATCATCTTGCACACCTTTAAACTTGCAGATGACCACCCACACTAACTGCTTGACTTACATTAAACAAATTCTCCCACCTGAGCCATCAAAACCAACTCTGCTGTCACATCATCACCTGTTCCCCACTGCTCAGAAGCATCAAACTTGTTCCAAATAAGAATCTTTATTTAAGTTTAAGAACTTTCCATAAGCACATTTAGATCTGAGCATTTTAAGTGAAGTGTGCACTGCAAGAGTATGTCTTTTTTCAAAAATCCATGCATTGCCACTTTCAGTCGTCTGCCAGCTGCAGCCTGGTCTGATTGAGAACAATGAGAGCTTTACTTAAAGAGCCACCAACATTTGGCTGCACATAAAGCATGATTATAGCATTAAAAAATGAAAGCTCTCATACAAACAGTATATGTGTTTTTTCTAAACTGTACAAATTCAGAGCAGCATTGAGTCCATATACAGATTTTTTTTTCCAGATTAAAGATTCAGAAATGGGGGTGGGGAAGGGAAGGAAGAACTATTTGGCAAGCAAGCGGAAGAGATCTAATACAAAAGGTTTGCTATTGTGTATATTTTAAGGCTTCTGCTAAGCTCAGATTGACTAGAACAGACAGCAGACAATGCAAATGTTTCATGTTCAATTTTGCACATAATTTTTAAGAGTTATGAAAGATTAGCCCAAACACTTCACAAGTGCAGCAAATTTTTAACAATTCCAGTTAAATTAAACAAGCATGATTGCCTTTTTAGTCTTGCAACATATGACAAATAGGCAAAAATAGAGTTTGGAAGTATTTCAGCATAGGTTGCTCCTCTTCTAATAGCAAAACATTCCAAATATGAAGATTTAAGTAAGAAGACTACATTCTGCCAAATTAAGTTCACACAGATGAGAGATGGACATGACAGACAATCCAAATATTAAGTGCAAATTGCACAATATTTATTTATTGAGTTCATAATTTAATTTCTCTAAAGAGGTAGGGATGCAGGTTATAGAAACAGTGGCAATATCTTCTTTTAGTAGAAGCCTAAAACAATGAGGATTTTTTAAAGACATACATGTCTGTGATGGTGATTAGGGCAGAGAACAGAGATCCTTCATGACAAAGGTTGCTAAATATTACATTTTGGTTTCATGTCAGAGTGAGATAGGAGGGTCAATCTATGCCACGTGTTGAAGTTTTCTCAGGGAAGTAAGAGTCCATGTTATTATAACTTAGCTGAATGGAAAAAATATTCTTGGGCTCTCCTGTACACTGAAGTTGCTAGAAGGCCAGAGGGACTGGGAGGGGATTCAGGGCTATTCAGCCTTTCTGCAGGGTGACCTAACATAAAGCCAGACTGCTTATAGAATCTTTGAGTACACATAAAATTGTTTTCTTATTCAACATATATTGAAGTGCATTACAGAATCAATAAATTCAAACTCTAAATATAAAGAACTCTGTTATCATGTTCAGAACTTGGCCTACTATTGGAAATTTTGCCAGGACTCAAGAGTCATGGCAAAGATACTTTTGCTTCATTGAAGAGGAGGTAATTAAATACTTTATAAAATCTTTCTAAAACTCAGCTGAATAGAATTTTTACTGTTTGTTGCTTTTGTTCCAAACTCTGACAGAAAAAGACAGTTGAAAGAATGCAATTATGTACAAATAGGTTTTCTCAAGACCAACATCTTTTGAACACGTTCATTATTTGAATTTCAGACTAATCTACTCAAGGCAAACACTTAGTCCAGTCCGTTTCTTGTTATATTCACCATGCTGTAAAAATAAAGCATTACAGTTTAAGTAGCACACGCTTTTATCCTATATAATGATGCTAAAAGGAAAGAGGTTACTGCCTTACAGTCCATAAAACAAATCCTGGCAAATACAGAGGCAGTATTCAAGGAGAGTAATGTTTCTTACCCAATTGAATGCGATCTGTCGTGGATGCACAAGGAAAGAAAAGCAAGAGTTAAAAGTAATAGGAAAAAGTAACAAATATATACATGTATATCTGTAACATGTCAAACTGCCCAAGGAGAAAAATAAAATAATTTGCATTCAAATCTTGATGCTGGAATTCACATTAGAATGTGAATCAGTTAAGATCCCTTCAAAGCAAAAATTTTCACACAGTCCTTCACTATGCAGTCACCTATTCTGTATGGATTGGATAACAGAAGTATTGTCTGCTAAGTTTTGTGTTCTCTTCATTAGATCAGATTTAAACAATGTTAACTGGTTTCCCTACCCATATCCTACCTTAATATTATTACAATATAGGTGTACTGGAATTGTACATGTACATCAATAGCAAATGTCTTTTTTTCCCCACTGGATTTCTTAATCATCTCTCAGTTAAGAAGGCTGGGAAAAAATATGGGCTTTTAATTCCTAAAATGACATTTTCTAAAATACTTGTTCCTTGCTGAAAACAATACTTGAAACGCTTTGACGCTGTGTTCCAGCTCACAAGAAACTTAATTCAGGCAGCAGAACTGGGAAAGGTGCACTGATATACAGTATTCAAAGGATGTCATTAATGTTCCAAAGTTGAGACATGATGAGGCAGACAGCCTCTCTTCATCTGTGTTACTGATGTAGTCTTTAATTACAGACCACTTCAAGGGAACACCTGTCTCATACAGCGAGCCAGATAGATGGTGCACACTTAATGAACATCTCTTCAATACTTATTTCTCACATCCTTTTTCAATGTGTGGTGTGATGCATTATTTACTGCACAACATTCATTCCTTCCTCCAAAGAAAAGTATTGATTTATTCAGGCTTATTTACAGGGTTATACATATCATAATGTATATTGGTGCTTCTTCAACAGTCATGGGTTTATCTTCATAACACAGTTCTGCTTAGACCAGCTTAAGTAATACTGTTGCCATATACAGCCTCCTTTTACTACCTGCTGCCTCTCAGTAGCAGCCACCCTCTTCTCCATGCTAATACAGATACTTGCACAGCCATATGATAAGGAAATCTGTTACTGCAAACCTCTAAAACCCAGCATAAATGAACGGGTGTCAGTAGAAATGAGAGGAAACAATGCCTCACCCATCAGCAAAAGAAATGCTTATGAAATCATGTTCTGAAGCAAGACAGTGTTACTATTGCCTGTATAAGGGTATCAAAGACAGAAGGGTTTCAGAATAGTAGTTTTGAGCATGACAGCTACAGTATCTGAAGGAATTAAGTTCCAGCAACAGTTTTAAGTGCCCAGAACATCCTTAGATCACAGAAATCCTGAAAGGCTGTGCAAAAGCTCCACCATCACCACAAACCACAACAAAGAGCTCCAAAAGGCACAACAATAAAGGCACAGCAAAAATCAATTCCCAAAGCACTAAAACAGATTAATTATATCTGAGCCATCACCAATTGATATTGGCCCAACCTGCTTATAAAAAGGTTAAATGAGAGAGATTTCATAGCCTTCAGAAATAACCCCTGTTCAGCTGCACATGTGAGCCTCCAGCCTAGCATTTGCTAGGCCCTTCTCTACAAAGCTGGCTGGTCAGCGCTCCCCATCTCTGATTTTGATTTTTTTTTCTATCTGTCAATAAAGCACCTTATACTTTCCTACGCTGAATAAATGTGGAATTCTAATCCTGGTGTCTAAAGTGCTTGCATACCCTGCCACTGCACTCATATGGGAATTCAAAGTGATGCCATTCTGATGCCTTCATCTAACCCAGTAATGAAAATGCTGATAAGTAACAGGTTCAGGACAGATGCCTGCAAAATCCTGCATTATGGTGAGCTACTGAGACCTATTCTTTGGATATAATTTTCAACTCCCTATGCTCTCTTCCTGCTAAAGCAATATCACCTAAGCTGTATTTCTCTAGTTCTGCAAAAACAGTATAGACAGCCTTATCAAAGTCAAGCTCTATGACATCTCCTGCCTCCCATCTATCAGCTATGACAGGTGCTGTCAATTCAAGACAATTGTTCTTGACAAACCCTTTTATGTTTTTGTCTTCATGCTATCTTCTAGATCCTTAGAAAATAACAGGTTAATGCATTCTCCCAGTATCTGCTTTCTATTTCCCAGAACTTCCCTTGCCCCTTTCCAGAGGGATGAACTTTGCCTTACTCCACCCCTCTGGGGCCTCCTGTGCCTTCTGTGCTGATTCCCATAATCTCTGAGGGGCACAGTCATGCCCCCAGGCTCTCCCTCCCTGAAGTCTTTTGTCTCTTTCCACGTGTGCCTTCCAATTCCTGGCAGGAATGAGGCATTATATTATCTTCATTCATCTTGAGAGCTGGCTCATCCCAGGCACTGAATTTGAAAGGGGTCTGTGTGATCATGTAATTAAAGAAAATGTATGAGACAGCTGAATGAAGCCTCTATACACAGTACAACTGCTGACATCCTAAATTGCATGCATGCCTTTGTTACCTTAATCTTTAAATCCATTTACTTGAGTAGTAGCAACGTATGTGGTAGTGTGCATATAGTAGTGTAAGTAGTTTCCTTTTTTTTCCCATTTTTTTTTTTCTTTTAAAGCAAACCAAAAACCAGAAAGTCTCCCACTTGGTATCACAACTTTTTTCTAAAAAGGTCATCAGCAGGGATGAAACTTAGATCCACACAGATGGCTGCAGAGTAGTCCAACAGTACTGCATGAAAAGATCCAAATTTTAGCAGTATGTAAAAGGGGAAGGGATAAAGACCCTCAACTCTTATCACATCTGTGCTCTACATAGCAAAAGCCATGTTAAAATGGCATCTGAGTCCATACTACTGCTTTGTAAGTGACTTGGGACCTCACTCTTCCCCTTTGCCTTCCATGTCAGAAAAATATTAAAGGAGACAATATGAGCTGGGGGTGGAGAAGCAACAAAAAATCTTGATGGCATATAACTAATCACAAGAGCTATTCATAAAGAATCTATTATCTCAGCTACATTGCTAGTGTCTGGTTTGTATCCTAAAGCAAAAATATCAGTACACTGCCTTTATATGCATTTCTGGTATTTCTAGTAACATGATAATAATAAATAGGATGCATTATGACTGCAAATAGACCTTGCAAGCACTAATAATTAATATAAAATTCATAAAATGTAAAATGCTAGTGATTATTCATGCACAAAATGAATTAGAGAGTTGTGACACCAGAAATCCAGGGTGGGGATGAAAGAGAAGCCTAGCAGCTGCATGAAAAGCACTTGGTCCCCAAAGGCAGCATCTCTGTTCTTTCAGACACACAGAATTTTCTCATTTTTCTTTCTTGTAGATTTTATCTTCTTGAATGCTAACACAGCAGAATAGCACATTTGGGGGAATCTATCTGGCCTGTTGCTGTTATATGATATTTTAGTAATACTTTTAGAGATAATACAAGGTGAAAATTAACATCCAGCATCTTCAGAACAGAAATATATGTTTCATGTAGAGCTCTGTATAGTTGACATAGCAGGCAACATAGAAAGTAGAATTTTGTTTCGTAAAGAAGGCAGGCTTCAGTATTTAGTCAGGCTGACTACAAACCCTTTCAAAATCACCATCGCCACAGGCAGGGGGTAAGACTGCTGAACATACTGGGAATTATGATGACATCTGGATTTTAGAAATCAGTTTCAAATGTCTGCTCTGAATGAAAGCAGAACAGGGATTTGCATCTGGGTGCCATTGGTGACTATCAGCCTTAATGCCTAACCAAAAGAATTAAGCTAGAGTCTGATGTTTGTTTAAATCGGCATTATGGGAGGGGGTGGTGATAATCCATATACTAGATCACTGAAATAAAATTATTCGGATTAGCAAAAAAAGCAAGTAAACAATGACAGAAAATTCCTGCCTCTTTACAGTTAACTCCCACAAACACAACTGGGATTGGAAAGGGAGGGGGAAGATTTTTAAAACCACGTTATGTAAGTGGTAAGGTTTATAGTGGGACCCCACACAGAACTGCATCTGCCCAAGCTGAGCCAAAATCTTAGGCCAGCTTTGTTGCTGAGGGAAGCATACTGACCATCACTGCAGATTTAGGATGTTCAGCAGATGCAGAAGGCTCAAGTCATGCCACTCTTTATATAACTATGGGAATCGGGCTAGACCACTTGCTTCTTCATCAAGTGCCAAGAAAACTCTCCTAACTGAGAACTCAACTGAAAACAATAAGTGTCCACAAAAAAGGCAGTGCTGGTAGTTCATATTTTCTTGAAAAATTCCCAACCAGGTTCAAGAAAAAAATTTCAATCAAAGAAAGCTACAAGAAACCAGCTTCTTGATTAATCAAAGTGCCTATGGACTCAGCCTCTGCTTTGAGCCCTTGGCTAAAGGGCTAATGGGATAAATACCTTCCATCTGCCCTCCGAGCGCTAGTCAGAAGCATGGTTTCCAAGGGGATGAGCATTGATACTGACAAAGGCATTTGGTAACAGTGATTAATTAGGGGAAATAACAAAGGATAAACATGCTCTATTTCAGTGAAGACATTTCTGCCTTTGCAGTTAATCTCACACCCTGTGCGAAGCATAAGTAACAGGAACTAAGAAATCTTGAACTGTTAAAGTCATCCTTCCCTTTGTGATCAAGAGCCAGCACTTAAGGTATTCGCACAACTCTTTGGTCACTGCTGTAGGGTCTAAAGTATGGAAACAGCAACAGTACCTGTTTGCTAAGCTGTAGGCTTGTCTTTTTTACAAGAGAAAGTGCTTGGAATGAAGAGAAAATGAAACAGGGAACACGTGCATCACACACATCTCATGCACTTCTCAAAAACATAGAGTACAACTATAAATGTATGGAAGGCAGAAAGAATATACAAAGGTAGCAAAAAGGCTTGTGAAAGTGACTCAGCCAACTGGAGCCTGGAAAGAGGGAACTGAAGTGAAATAAAATAAAACCACAAGAAATAATGACTGACATGAAGGACAGAAGGACTCACTCACTGTTTCTCATAATGGAAGAGCCAGAAGGTATCAAAAGAAAGACATCAGGGAGACTCCAAATAGGGAATGAATGAGCAAACAAACAAACCACACACTTTACCACATAACTGTCTATTCATCTGGGGAGACATGAGATGTTACGAATGTCAAAACCTCATACATATTAAAATAAATTCTAAATAAAGATAAACTAATTAAGAAAAAGCCTTAAAAACTTTTAAATGAAAGCTCAAATCTATGTTTTAGAAAGTTTTCAGCTCTGAGATTGCTGAATGCTAAAAAAACTGTAATAGGAAAACACAATTGCATATTCTTATAGCCTTTGATAGGCATATACTACCCATGAATGTTTAACTGCATCAAGTCAAAAATTCTTAGTTATGTTGATACCCTGGTTGCAAGTCATGCACTAAATTTCCATTTTGAACTGCAGTGCAGAAAAAGACATTGTAAAGCTGATCATATTGTGATGAAGATTTTCCTTTTTTATTTTCACCTATAAAAAAAGCAGCACTTCTGCGAAGGGTTTATTAAACTGCACGTAAAAGGTAGGTATAAAGGGGGGACTCTAAAGATAGCTTAAGATTCAGATGAAAATTTAAAAAGTTGAAAAAGAAGTTTTAGCTGCCAAGAACTATGCTTCAGCCATTTGCAGCACACACAGATCTCAGGATATGGTTACCTCATAGAATACAAAATGACAAAAAAGTGAATATATACCAATATCTCTAATAAATGAGACTAATTCTGCAGCTCAAACAATACATTGCAGAGTTACTCATGTCCATTTATTTCATCACAAAAAAGAAAATCAACTTCTTCAAACACTCAAGAAGTTCTGTAATCTTGCTACCTAATGAAAAGTGGAGTGCTGGTTTACAGTGTACAATTTCTGCTCTCATGCTGAGGGACTTTAAGATCAACACTTTAAAAGCCGCATCAACATATAAAGCTCGACACTGAAGTTGCATTTAAGTGACAGTTCTTGTACTGACCTCAACTCCTGTTACTTCCATCGTATCTATTTTTATACAATTTCAGAACAAAATTTTGCAGTACATCTCAAAAAAAATGACAAAAAACAGCCTAAAATATTTTTTTATCTTTTCACAAGCAGCTCCTAGGCAGGCTTCTTTTCTTCAGATGAAATTTTTCTCCAGAGTCCATGTATGAATAAAATTGCGTTAATAAAGATCTAACACCATTTTTTTGTTCCATTTTACTTGTACATTTCCTTGAGCTTGCAAAGTTATTTCAAAGGGATTTCCAACTGTACTTTAAAAAACAAACAAACAAACAAAACAGGACTCTAATAAAAATAACATTTTCATTCATCATTATACCTTCTTTTCGGTTAAAAACATGAATGCTGCAAAATGCTCAGACTACAAACTACTTGAACCTGTAAAACACTAATGTAAAAGTAAAAGAAGAGCTGACAAACGATTTATACATTTTGTTCTCAAAATAAGACCAGAGAAGCAACAGATGCCTATACCTCATATCTCCAAACTTCTTGCTGATCGCTGTTCCTACATTACTGATAGCTGCTGTTGCTTTTTGTCCTGCATGGCTCAGGGTCTCATGTGTTTTCTTGTAACTGAAAACAAAAAACAGAACAGAAACAGTGGTAAGTATTAAAAAAGAGCAACTAGAATCCCATGCAATTAATTCGCTTTTCCCTTATTTCCACATCTTAAAGTCCCAAACACTGAAGGGTTAAGAAACATGGTAAGTGTAGCTCAAAACAAAGGGTGAAGAAGCCCACTTCTGCACTGCCTCCCAAGTTTAATCCTCATATGAGCAAAACGCTCTCCAGAGCAATCCTTTGCTGTATCTTTCCCGCTGGCAAGTAACATCCCCCAGATGGGCCAGCACACGCTGTTTAAAAGCAGAATACAGCGATTTGTTGAATACCTGTTTGATAAAACTTCTGTTTACGTAAAATCATATTTACATCAAATAAGCATTCTTACACTGACCTCATGGCAAAATCTGTTATCTGGAGTACATAAAAGAATCAGGACAAATACAACTCTGCTCTTCCAAGCGTATACATATTAGGTACATTTAACAAATGCACTTCAAAATTATTCTGTGATATTTCACATTGGGAAAAAACTGATCAAATCTGTTTTTATATGCTACAAGTCTCCTTTTTTTATTTTTTAAAATTTCTTTAAAGGAAGAAGGTTTGGGGAAGGACATAGAAAGAAAGATGAAAAAACCTAGACAGTGAATGTATATTTTTAGGATTGAAGTCTCTTAGAAGTTACTAATTTCAGTTATAGCACACAGATTCAAACACAGAATCACCTTAATTACTGATCCAGAATACATGCTCTGACCCACACAGACCCTTCAGTAAAGTTGCTCTCTTAGAGGAATCAATAAGCTTTTCTGCACAGATGCTATTCTGCTGACTAAATCAACTCTCAGCATGCCAGAGCCTTTCTTCTGAGTAAATTATCTGATACTCCCAGTGACGCAGACAAGCTCAGAATTAGAAGTACTGACCTAGTAACAAAAGGAGAGCACATTATAATCAGTCTTGTATCCTGTGGTGTGTGTTGGCAGACAAGAACTGAAGAAATGATAGTGAAAAATTCAGAAATACAACTCTACTGGTTCTAATTCTCCTTTGAACAAAAACTATAGAATTGCAAACATGTACCAAAACACACTGGAGATTGATTAAAAAAAAAATCCCACTGCGTAATTCCTGCAACAGAGTATTTTCTTCTTACTTTTATGTATATCAAAGCAATATGAATTTGTGGAGGCAGGAGGGAAAACAAGATTAACATTTGCAGCATGGAACATCACATTTTATGTCATGTCCTTTTAGCTCCAGAAGTACCTGTTGCTGAAAGTCCTCTGTTCAGGACTGTGTTTTACAAACCACAGGTTGGATGGCAGATGCCACGTAATGCTCTGGTCTTTCAGATAATATACTTTGATTTTATGTTCCTAAGCCACAACATTTCTTACATCCTACTGGCCTAACAAGTTCTAAAACTGCCAAGTGAAAGGGCTCCTTCTATGAAGGTACTTGTCTCTGTCTTCACTGACTAACAAGACAATCTACAGGGAGCAGTTGAAGACTAGGGTACCAATTCTCTAGGAATCTCCAGTTAGATAAGCAGAATCAAACACAGGTACAACGTTGAATGCCAACAAGGGCTAAAACATGGCAACACTGACAGAAGGAGCACATATTATAATTAGAAAGGAAGGAGCACTGGTTATGCTTGTTTTGTTTATCCTGATAAAATACAGAGAAGGTGGGAATGGTTGTTTTCACCGGATCTCATTTCTTCTTAGACAGTCTGTCCCTGGACATAGCAAGAATTGCAATGCTCTTATTTCACTGAGGCCTCTTTCTCTAGCTTAACTAGTTTAACAGCTCTGTCATTCTCTTGCTGACAGTAGATATACTCTCATATAAACTAGAATGGGATGAGACCCTAAAAAAGATATTAATGATACTTTAGTCAAACTATAAGCACGTAGCTTTTTGGTAAGAGTTGCCTACAAAAAAAAAATCAAATACTCTAACGCCTGTGGCATACAAGTCTTAGACAGTTTGCTGACAGAGAAGCTTCCTAAACTATTCAGCACAAGTGGAATTTTGCCGATGACAAAATGAAGGCAAAGACTTGACTTCCAGGTCTAAAAGATCATTTGTAGAACAACCTATTTATGTACAGGTTGAATGCACATAGTAAAATACTTTGCAGATATCTTGAAATGATTTTTTGAAATAACACCTTGGAGTTAAATTTATTCATAGGTATATTTAACTTTATGATAAAATATCTCCATGTCTTACCTTTCTTCCACAAGTTCTTCACACTGTGTAAAACTGTTAAGAGAAACAGTTCCAAATGCCACATACAGCAGACAGACTCAAATTTCACTGAGAAACATTAGAGTCCCCTACGTATTTCTGAACATTACGTTGGTCAGAACACACCTCCTGGGAATTGGCTGGAATGACATTGATTTTGTATTCCAACAATATTGTGTTCTCTGCAAATCCTGTAAACCCAACATCCTCCAGTATTTCCATTAGCAAGGAAGACATGGAGATTGCATTTGTGTTCCTAATACTTCTGACATTACATAAGAGCATAAATCCAGCTAAAACTATTACACAACTAGTCTTTTTTCAGCACCAACTTCATCAAAAATGACCTTTGATATGAACCACTCCTCCCTTCAGCAATGCTGAAGATGAGCTTTAAGAAACAATAAAATAACAAAGGTGAAAATGGAATACAACATACAATACCTGTCAGCAGAGACAAGAAGCAGCAATTTGCGTCTCAGTAGAGCTCACTGATAGATAGCTTAAAAATCAAGCCCCCTCCATTGCCTCCTCTCCACCATTATGCATATCACTATGCCTTCTTCATAAATAAATTATCTTTCCACAGAGCACATTGCCTCACTGTAGTTAGTTATACTTTGATATTTTGATATATGATGCACAGTATTCTGGCTCAGATATTTTTATCCTCATAGTTACGTCATATTTACAGCATCCATTTGATGACTTGCCAAACACTCTGGAAACAATGATCTCTTCAGCATATTCTCTTTGACATCTGGGAATGTTCGCAGTTGTATGTAGCATAAATTATCTGACCCAGCAGTTTTCATTATGTCATGTAACACACAACAGTTTTGTTTTAATGCACTGAACAGCTTACATAATTTCCAGAAATCTTTATGAGCAGAAATAAAGTTGGATATTCTAGGTAAGACCTACAAACACTTACTAATTGGAAAAAGTGCTGTATGTATAGCTTAAGTCCTCCTTAAACCACCTAGTGCTCTGAATGCTAAGTTGTCTACACACTCTCATCCTGTCAGCAGCCACTGCTGGCAATCCGTAGGTGAGTACTGACCACCCAGTGCACCAGAACAGGTGACAGCATCTCAGCAGTCAGTCAGCCAGCAGCTGAAATTAGACCAGTGACCCCTAAACCTTATAGGCAGAAATGCTCCAGCACAAACAAACTCAGATAATTTAGGATACAGATATTCAAGAAATAGCATCGTCAATGCAACCCATGGCGTGCATTTTTACACAAAAACATCATTAAGGTCTATGCTTTTCTTACACTAATACAAAGGCACCTTAACCTCCCTGAGTTTCTCATCTGCATTATGCCAGGTACCCAGTAGCATTAGTAAAAGTAGAAACAGGCTACTTGATTTATTCGGTTAAAGAAGGAATGCTTTCTCTGATTTTGTGGCATACTCTATAGCACAGAAGAATTGCTGGTTAACAAGGATCATATTCCATGCTTTCACTTAGCACTTATCAGTAAATATTTATAATGTATTTGGTAGACATAAAGGATTAAACAAATATGTCAATTGCTGTCACAATTACAAACTTGTAAATAACACTCACCTGTGAACATTTGAACATTTCCTTTATATATGACACTGAACTATGAATTTCATCTATCAACCTCTGATTATAATTTTGTTTTTAAAATAGGGTATTTCTTTAAAAGAAGCAATTGTTTATAAAACTGATTATTACAGGTTATCACAAAATATGCTGATATTGCAGTTATACTCTGATAATATACCCAACACATTTAAAAGAAGGTTTAGACATAACTCACCTCTCCAGTGCTGTAACATACTAATTAGACAAAGTAGATTTGCAGCATATTTTGACTGCATTTTCATCTGACAGTTTCATATACTACATTTAGTTTATACTATCCTGTGACAACCATGTCTCACTAGCTGATTTTTACAGCCAGTGAAAGCAAGTGTAAGGAGAGACTGTGTCATAAAACACAACATGTGAAGGAAATAATGCTTCATAAGGAGTGTAGCCAGGTGGCAGCCATATAGAGAGGTCAGAGAACCAGACATTTAAATGACCATCATCTGCAGGATAAGACAGGACGGTCACACTCATCTCAACTCAGTACAGAATGGCCCTTCACATGGTAGAGTTAAATCTAACCTTCCTTCATAGGTGCAATACATGGACTGCTAACAGAAGTAGGCTATACATATAATATTTATATTTTGCATGGCAAGCTGCACATTTGACCTACTACAGTAAATTATAAAGAATTAAAATTCAGCTTCTGTAAAATTAGTACATCTGCACATTCATCATTGTGCCTCTCTATCAATGCTTGCTGGTAAAATTAATTCACTTGAGAAACGCTTGTCTGTGATAAAGCTTACATAAGATGTCACAGAATGCAAACAATTAACAACAAAACCATACAGTAGAGCAGAGCCTGGTAGCACAAGCCATGCCCTATAGAGCTTGTTTCTTTTCAGTTTTCAAACCATTAGTCATCTTAAGAATAGCTTTTCTGGAATCAATGTAAAGCATCTGGATATTTGAGAAACTCTCAGCTAGAAAACTATTTTTCTGTTGATTTTCTAGGAGAAGTGGGGCTCAGCATTAACTAAACTATGCTAATGCTCAAATGAGATAAATGTGTATATGAATGACAGATAACGTGTACATAAAACATTCTCCATTCATATTGCTATTTTACCCACAAACGAACTCTAAACTGTTGTGAGCTGTTTTGTTTGGTTTTTTGGTTGGTTTCTTTTTTTTTTTAGTACTCTCTTGAAATTCATTCTAACTTCAAAACCAAATGTACGTTTTTTGACATCCTTCCCACTGCCAGGTATGTTAAGAATTAACTGAAACTGTGATGGCACTTGGATGGGCACATATGCCTAAATCAAAGGAGGTATGCACCAGGCAGTCCCTCTCCCACAGATGGAAGGGCAGAACTGCAGAAACTGAACCTCTGCAGGCTGCAGCCAGAAATCTGTGTGCAGCACACAAGAGATGACTGTTCAGCAGGCTGGAGAGAGTCACAGGTCAGAAAAGGTGCCAGACAAAGGTGACAAACATTCTGGGCAGTTCTGCCCTGTAATCTTCAAACACTTGGGAAAAAGTGGGGATACAGTTGTGTGAAATGCATTATTTGTGCAATGCAGCATAGAGTGGGGGAAAAAGAAGCAGTTTTGGTACAGTTACTCTCCAGGTTATTGCCTTAAGCACAGATGATCTTAAGACATTCAAGGCCAAAACTTCACAGCTCTTCACACCTTAAACTATGCCAATAACACTGACTGTGCACTCTGTATAGTACACTAGATTAACAAAATTATGCAGACTAAACCTATGCCAGCCTTCCTTTTCCTTTCTTCCTTTTTCTTTCTCCTTTTCCTCCCTCTCCCTTTCTTTTCTTTTCCCTTCCTTTTCTTCCTCCTTTCCTTCCTCCCTTTAATTTCCTTTTCCTTCTTTCTCTTTCCTTTTCCTTCATTTCAGTTTTTCTTTTTCCTTCCATTTCTCACTTCCCTTTCCTTCATCCCCTTTCCATTGACCCTTTCCTGGATATTATTAATCCTTGTCCTTTCAAAGGTTCCAATTTACATTCAGGCCTCCCTTCCCATCCGTACTGTTACATATACACACATATAGATAACTATAATACACATGTATATATTTTCTGTTCCACAATTACAATTACAGTGGGGTTTTCCCTGAGAAACAAACATTTGGAACAGATCACATGACCTTGCTACAGAGCTTCCAATTATCTGAAGGTCCTAGTGCAAACAAATGGACATACATCTTCTGGAAAAGGAACAATGAGAACAGACTAAGTTAACTTCTCCAAGTCCTTTCTCCAACCTTGTGACTCCACCCTTCCAAATTCAAGGACAGAGATACGTGTGGAAAAGCAGCATCTTTGAAGATGGCATGAACATTGCCTGATCGGACCCAAAGCTCCCTTTACTTCCATATAGCACGGACTCACACACAGGTAACGTACTTGCTAAAGTCATCACTTACACAACTGATACATTTACTTGCAAATTTAGTAAAGAAAACATCAAAAGGTGATTACACATTGCAAAGAACGGAAACACCCACATTTCTTTTACTACCACTCATAAGAAGTATGTGTGTGGGAACATAGTATACTTAATTCCTAGAAGTCACAGTAGGACTGTGGTTGTCCACAAGTTATATCTGACTTCCTAAGAGAATTCTGAACCTATGGAACACATTACTATATATTTAAAGTTATACTAATAAAGACTGCATGTACTGTAGATTGTAAGCCTAAAACACATGCAGCGTAACTAATACTTTCTATTTTCTTATCACCTGGCAGAAATTTGAACTATAAAATATTAGGTTCCCACTGTTTGTGGAAACCCATGCAATTGTCCTCGAGTCACCTATCAGCAGAACTAAGTTTGCTCACATAGTTCAACCAGTAGTCAATGAACAGATCTTTATTCTGCCTTTGGGGGAAAAGGCCAAGTCCATCTTGAATGCTCTTGTCCCAAATCTCAATTAAGTACTACAAGTAACAGCAGAGCAACATTGAAACTTTCCTAAAAAAACTCCAAAGAGATTAACCATTTAAAATAGAGGAGGCTTACATCTTTTAACAGCTGATAACATTTCAAGAAAGAATGACCAAGGAGCTTCTGGGAACTATTAGGCTGGAGTGAGGTTATTTGTGTGTAATTTTACAGATACAACTGCTCTTTAGAAACTCAATAGTACTGAAGGATCTCCCAAGAGGACAGGACTATAATATCTTATGTCTTTTCCCAAAGAAGTACAGAAGAGCACCAAATTAAAAACTGAGGGACAGAGCTGAGCATGGTTACACCATATATAGTTAGCAAAGGCCAAGGTATCTTGTGGACATCTTTCCTTAGTCCTTCTTCTTACCCTGCTTCTAGAATCTAAATAAAAATTAATTACCTATTTTTAAAATACAAAAAACCTGCATTGCTAAAAGCTATCTGAATATCCACCCACCTCTATTCACTGAAAACCCAATCATTAAAAATGTGTGTGTAGGAAGTCATTCCAGTTGAATGCCTTACCACTGTGAAAGCAAATTAAACTCAAGGCAATCATTTGCTCCCTAGATACTGATCTTCTCTATAGTAGAACCCCCTGCCTCCCCCAAACATACAGATTATACTAAAAGTCAGTGCAGTGAAGAATAGTATAGGAAATCAACAAGGAATTTGAAAAATGCATAATGATTCTGGTCATAAAAAATGAATGGCTGCCAGGTGCCTTTTATAAAAGGTTGGAAAATGCAAATAACATTACAGCTTTTCCTTATAGAAAAATAAAGCTGATTTAAAAAAAGCTGTTCTGGTACAGAAAAAGCTGCACATTATTGTTGCAAATGTAACGTCTTACCAGAGGTAGTTAGAATTGCTTTTGCATACCCTAAGCCATGAATTAATAGAAAAGAAACAGACTGTACTAAATCTCCAGTTAAAATTTAGGTGGCATTACAGGTGGCATCCATCCTGTGAGTTAGGTCCTGAGTCCTAACTAGGGATCAAACACACTTTACAGAACTGTTGCTGAGAGAAGTCCACCCCTCTGCCTCTAAGTCCACTCTAACCCTAAGAATGCATCCCTAAATGGAGAGCTTAAAAAGATTATTAACAATAAGTGGACAAAAATTTGGTGCTTAATTGTTCTCTGTGGCTTTGAAAAGTTCCCTGTTAAAGAAATGTGGGTTTAATTTACAGAGAAACACAGCAGCTAAGTGAAAACAAAATTTGCAGGCATGTAAATATTTTGAACTTTTATTTTTTAAAACAGGCTTTCTTCCTTTCTAAATCAGAGAATCTTGGTGACTAATACTATCCCATTGCTATTTTGGTACAGCAACAATGAATCACCTCTGTTACTTAACACATTCATTCTTAAGAATGCTGGATTACCATGATTTGTACTGGCATCAGTGTACTGGCATGAGTGTCAGCCAGAATTATATAGCAGTGGGACCATGAACAAAAGAATTTTCACGGGCACAGATGGACTCCTGCTGCTCAGTTCCACATAACTATTTCTGGACACTTATCACCTAATGGCTTGTTGTTTTTGAAAATCATCTCAAATAAAAAGTAGCAGCTACCATACTGACAAAGTCTCCTAAGTCTATCCTTGTGGAAAATTCAATGTTGTGAAGGAAAAATGAAAAGCTATCTTGTAATTTTCTACCAAATTTCAAGTAAAAAATGAAAGTTTTTCTTTCAAAATGTTGCTAGTGTCTCCCAGTAACTCTAGTTCAGGTGTTCTTGTTTCCCTCCTCTCTTCTAAAGTTTAGTGTTTCTAAACCCTCTTCTAGCACATGTCATACATCCTCACCAAGCCAGCATTGATGCTCCTGCTAATGACATGTCATGAGAAACAGGACCTAGATGAGAAACTTGTCCAAAAGTTAGAGATAGGAGACATACAAACTACATTTTCTATTAAGGGGTTTATGCCTCTTTTGACTTCCCATGAAAATACAAAGAATAATTATTTTAATGCAAAAACGTGCATTTTAATATATTTTTCCAAGTCTCTGTTAGCACCTTGAATGCACCAAGAGACACTGCAAATGCTTCCCCCCACCACTCCCCTGAGTCTGGCTGCAGGCTACCTCTGGCACTGCACAACTGTGCAGCCTTGAGTAGACTGTGATCAAAGTGCCATGAAAGAAAGAGTTGGGAGAAGCTTTGTTAAGCACATCTTCCCTTCACTTTGGAGCTACACTAAAGCTTAAATTGCATTTAAGCCCAAGTCATATTACTGATATGCCTCTATCTGGCTGGGTACCTCATCGATCTTGAACTCACAGATTTGACTCCCTGGCTTGACCTTGGACCTGGCTCATCAATACAGATGGGAGATCTGAACTCTTGGCTTGACCCTCTTCACTGTCACTGGACCTGCTCTGCTCTCTTTGTTCAGATACTGTGGGATTGCTCCTTCATGGGTGATGTCACTGCCCTGCCTGCCTTGCTGTCAGCTCCCAGCTCAGCTCAGTTGTGGAGCAGCTCACTCTTGCTTCTCCTTATGTGTCAAATTCAGTTGTCAAATGAAAAGGAAAAAAAATATCAAATGACTTTTCAGACAGCACTTAATGAAAGGTGGGTGGTTCTTTCTACCAATCTTGCTATTAATTCAGCCCAAAAAATTTGAGAGGAACATGGTATGTTCATATGTGTAAGTATCAAGATCAGTACTCACGCGGAAGTTGTCTGCACATCATGCCAGCTTTTGCTAAAGTTCTGCTTCAGTTCATTCATCAGACTTATGCCAAGCTTTTGTTTAATTTCAACCAGGTGCTTCTCTTTGGCTGCTAGCACTTGCCGCAAAGTTGAAATTTCATCCTCTAGCTGAGAGAAAAAAATGGGGAGGAGAAAGGAGAAAGGTGTTAGCCTCTTCCCACAGAATGATAAAGACACATGATGTTAGGAGGTTAAATGAATCTCACATAAACTTGTGTTTTTTGTAGGTAACTACAGAGACAGAGTCAAGTGCTTGTGGAGATCACAAAGGCATGCCCAGAACAGAGCTGACACTACATTAAATTAATGTCTCAAACTGTGTCATCTATGTGCACCATCATACACATGCATCTGATAAGACAGAGAATTGTCCAGTAAGGAAGTGACTTGACCAAGATCTGCCTTAGGGCATTAGGAGTCTCAAACATCAGTTTCTCATTCACTAGTAAAATGGGAATGGGTAGGACCAGACAATTCAGGCAAATACAAGACTGGACAATTCAGGCAAATATCTGTCTTTGAATGCATAGGCTTTTAACTTCATATTTGCATATTTTTAGTCTTCCAGTCCTGAAAAAAACAGATGCAAACTCATAGGAGCAGGTTAAAAAAACCAGAAAAATCGCATGATAACATGACTTGAGAGTATCATAAAATGTTATAATCCTTGTCACGTAAGTTTTATTTATGTATTTTAGGCCCTACATATTTCAAAATAGTAACATAAAAGTTTATAGATGGACTGTTAACATGAGTGAGCAGGTCCTACCCAAAGCATAGAAACACTCAGAAGACACAGCAGATTATCCTTTTCAGAAGTCTTAGTCATTAACCAAACTGTGCATTTTCAAGTTGTAAAGATGCCATCCAGCCCAAACTGGGATATAATTCTTCCTGCAGTGGACACTTTTTTTAAACATTTAAACAAAGCCAGTGTTTTAACAAGGCAAGGACCAGAACACGGGGCCAGAAGAGGGACAGCAGAAACATCCTGCCACTGGCTCAGGATCCTGCTCCTTGGGTAACACTCCTGCAAGCAAGCACAGGTTTGCATTCCTCATCTGGAAGCTTCCCTATCCAATCTATACAAGCAGCACTCAGAGACACTGAAGCTAACAAGGGCAAGTGACATCAGAGCAGCTGCCTTTCACTTCAGGTTTAGAAATTCCCTTACCAAATGCGTTCCTTCTTCCATATGTTAATAGGATAACATATGGCAGTGTATCTGATTACCATATGCTAAGTTCCCTGGAACCACAGTCTCCCAGTGATATAACTCCATAGGCTGCAGGGAATGATGCAAGCACCAGCTGAAACAGTGCTGACCTCCAGGGCTATATTTAGGACACCAATACCAGCATTATTTTTATTTTACACACTCATGCGTTCTGCTTCCCTGTAAAACCGGCTGTAAACTCATTGTTCTTGGAAAAGTCTCATCCTTGAATCCCTCAGCTGTCAGTTTCTCTTCTGTCACTACCTGCTACCTGAATTATTCAAGCAGCTCAGGAATTAAGCAGCAAGACTATGAACACAAAGCAAAATCATGATCTGAGTGAAGCAGATATCAGTATTCACCAATGCCTGTGATGCCAACACTTCACCCGTAAAATACACAACAATCCAAATTGCTTTATTCCTGCCCATGTCCTTTATGCTCCATTATATTCCTAACCTGCAAACGAAACACTGTCAAGAGGCAGCTGTCAAGAGTCTCTCTCCTGAGAGGATAACTGGTTAAATGGTTACAGAAAGAAATCACAAATGTCAGCATTCCTCAGGCAGCAGTTCAGAGCTCCCTTTAGTTGTTTCCCCCCTTAGTGCACATCTGCCTGAGTAACACTGCTAAAGCATTTAACTTAAACCAATACCAGTATGCTTACTTGTACTTTAACATTAATGCTTTCCATATGGGCTAGCACTAGCCTGATCATTAGGTACCTGGATACGTAAACATTTGAGGGCTTCTATAAAATTACTTTCCATCTGTTCCATTGAATAGACATCTAAAGCTGTAAAGCCCTAAGCAAGTATTAGCCATGTGCTCAATGGCATAAGTATGAACAACATTTTTGACTAAAGAAAAATAATTTAATATTTTTAATACAGTGATCAGTTTTGAATTGACAAAATCCTCCTCAAGTTCCATCACTTTGAAATAATGACAGACACAAAATCGCCCTCGAGTGCTCAGATATCGGTGACTGAAGACTCTGAAGCAGGTAGAAAGGTTTAGGGACTTACAATAGGATACTGAAAAACATTTAAGCATGCTACATACCTAGCTCCCATGATAGTCAGGCATCACCTGCTTAGGCATTTTTTAAAAGTCCTCTCATATAAATGCAGAATCTGTTATGAAACTAGGGCTTAAGTCAACAGAAATACAAGCTTTCAAGGCAGTAAGTGATTAAAATATTAAGGGGCCCCAACAGAAAACAGAAGCCAACATGGTTAAATAAAAGTTAGATTAAGTGTCCTTTTTCACTACTACTACATCACCCAAATACGTAGTGGCCCTGTCTGACTGTTTGCACAGCCCTCCTTGGTGGACTGAACCAGGTAAAAGCCATCACAGAAGATCTTTTAACCAGATCCACTACAGCGTGATGCACAAGTACCTGTACGGATACAGGATAGGGGACAGAAATGAGATGGAGAAGAGAGGAAGGTAGTGATAAAATAAAGCAGCACATGCACAAATCATATAGCTCAAATTTTACACCTCTGGGTTTAGAATCACCTAAGCTTTCCCTTAGGTGAAAAACACCCAGACACATCAAGGGACACTCATAAATAAATTTAGGCATAAGTTTGCAGAAAAAACGTATTAGCATCTTTCCTCAAACTGGGAGCAAACATGTAGTAACACACACTGCTGAACTTAGAACCTGTGCATCAGCTAGATCAAAGCAGATAGCTCCTTTTCTGAAGGTATGGGAGGGGGAAGACAGAAAAGAGTAAATGACTACTTTGACAAGTGTAATGGAAGGACAACTGACAGCAGTGAGCAAGTCTCAGCTCACGGTCTCAGCCCCCATCATGACTCAAGAGTCATTGTACCATGCTTCTTACAGCGAGGGAGGAAGGGAGAAAAAAAACCTGTTCTGCTAACAATCTTCTGGCCTTATGTAAAGTTTTTGGGCTACAATTTTCTGCTATTATTCTGAAAAGTCAATTGAACTCTGTAAATTCAAATGACTGCTCAAAGTTTCTGTAAGAGTTACTCATTTTAGATTGACTGTAGGAATTCCAAGGCTTGTTTAGAGTCAGAGCCCTGCTGTGTTAGCCAGACTACAAATACAAGAACAGAGTGAGTCCATGCTCTGAGAAGCTTCGAGTACAAAGAGAGTACCAGCAGAGGAATAGGAATAGAGGATACAAAAAACCTGTCAAAAAAACCAGTAGTGCTTGTTCCTCTCCTAATGTTGGAGAGGGAAGGAGGAAGAGGAACAAGACAAAGAATGTATACAGCAGATACACAACACAGAGATGGAATATATTTTTTCTGTTTAACTACATGCATAGCAGGTGCTCACAACAGCTCTCCAGTATATCAACTATTGATAGCAGAATTAAGGATGAATTTTACATTTTACAACAATAAGAAGAAAGGTGCTTGTTCCTACAGGTTCAAACTGGTATTACATAACACATAAGGACATGGAAGAAAACAAAACTATCACTGGTGGAGCAGAAAGGGCTTGAAAGTAAAGACTAAAAGCTTTTCAGAAGGAAACATTAGCTGATTCCCATAGAGGTTATTCTGAAGGAGGCAAGGTCGTACATATATTTTTACAGTCTTTCTAAGAGTCATAAGCCTCATTTAAGTTTACAGTTTGTTCACTCTAAATTCAGGTTTTCCAAACCTTCCTTATCATAATTTTTTAGTTTTATTTTCTTTTTAGGCATAAGTTGTATGCCAGTAAACTGCTGCGAGCAATTCAAAAAATAATTCCTAGGTCACTCAAGATGATAATATTTAAAAGGCATTCTCTTAGTACATGAATTAAAGCATTTCTAGCATTAGCCACTGAGAACTCTCTGCTTCCATGGGAATCAGTAGGCAGAAAGGACACCCAAAAACTCTTCAGATTAATTGTGCTGAGAGACATATCATTCTCAGATGATTGCAAGAAGTACTGAATTTTTTCCTTCCTTGTTTCTCATCTGCCTATTAAGTCCCTTTCACCAGAAAAGAGAAGAGAATCACAGAAGAAGTGAAGTTGGAAGGGATCACTGAAGGATATCTGGTTCAAACCCCCTGCACAAGCAGGACTACCTAGAGCATGTTTCTGAGGACTGCACCCAGACAGCTTTTGAGTATCTTCAAGAATGGAGATTATACAACATTTCAGGGCAATCTGTATCACTGCTCAATCACACTCATGTTAAAAACATGTTTCCTGATGTTCAAGGGGAACCTCCTGTGTTTCAGTGTGTGCCCACTGCCTCTGATCCTTATGAAAAGCCAGTAATGAATAGGCCAACTTCTAACTTATGTGATGAACAGAACATGTAAAGTTTCAGCTTCCTTCTGATTATTTACAGATGTGACCGGATCAGCAAAGTTAAAAATAACTAGTGACTCAGAAACATAAGGCTTGATAAAATATTGAAGTGAAAAAACAGTCTTTTGCTTCACTAGAAAATCCTATCAGCACTAAAGGTGAATGACCTGAAAGTAGTTAAGAATGTGACTTCTTAGACTACTTAGTATTACAACTTAATATTAATTTAATATTCCAATTAAGACAAAAACAACTCTTCCCCTTCATACAGTTGTAATTTCTGTTATTTGACTCATATTTAAAATAAGTAAACTCACACTTTTTCCCCATTCTCTCATTTATAATTTTTGAATTTCACTTCTGTTTCTGTGGTATTCAGCAGCAGTAATTAAAACTGAACACATCCTCCCCTTGTAGACCAAATCTAGACAATCTCTTTAATCTTTATAATAAAAAAACCACATGGTTCCCACCTTTTTCCTTCTATATCCTTGTTATTATTTTTAAGCCTCTTCATAGTGTCCTGAGTTCCAGACTCCTGAAAGAAAATATAACCCTCTCCAAACACATCAGTGCCAAAGAAAACAAAAAAAAAAATCTTTTCCATCAGGTGGCACAACCACTGTATCAACAATATCACAAATCTAATAAAAACACCTTCCATTCTTTATGAAGGAAGGTTTCTAAATAAAGACAAGTCTTTACTAAGATGGTAAGGTATATTTAACTTTCTCTGTAGAACCATCAAGTAGAACATATTTAACCTTAAAAAAATCTAAAAGGAAATTAATTCCTTCGCAGTATTGTAGCCTAGCATAATTTTACCAAAAGAAAGGGCATACATTTATGATTTTATCCTACAATTAATATCTTCCAGTTTAAGGAACTAGAAACAGTAGCACATTCAGATTCATTACCTTGGCTAGCTCAATCTTTAACTCTTCTTTTTCTTCTTCAGAAATCATATTGGTGAAATCAACATCAGTGACCACATCTTCATCTGCTTCATGCAACGACTGGGTTTCCAACAGGCCTTAAAGAGTTAAAAGGTCAAGACAACCATTATTAATTATTTCAGTTATTGATTATACCACTTATGGTACTGGCCTCCCCTAAAATCTAAGAACATTATAATATTCACCCACTAGGAAAAAAAAAAACCAAACCAAAACCCAACCTTTTCCTGCTACAGATCATCTGGATTCTGCTTCTCTTTGCTTCTGAAAAGGTATTGGAACTATTAGATGACAATGTCTGCACAGAAGCAATTTAATATGTATAAGCACCTCTCATTCCAAGAAAGCAATCACCTTGGACCCCACTAATCCATGATAAGGCATTTCCTTGCTTCTAATAATATGGAAGGAAAAAAAAAGCTTTTTCATCAAAATAAGAAAGCTGGTTAATGTGGATTATAGATGTAAATAGTAGCAATAGTGCACTGAACGATAAAGTATATCACTGAGCAAAGTTTGCTTTAAAAGTACCGCTGATTGCAGCAATTTGAAACCTTACAGATGTATACAGTTTGCAGAAGCAAATGTCATATCTACTGTTTAAATTTTCTAAATGTTAGTGAGAAGCATACCTTGATTGCTCAATCTAAACTTGTGAAGGGTGGATAAACATACTCAACCTCCAGTTACTTTCTTCTTTTGCATGTCCAAGACAAGTAAGTATAATAAGCAAGATAAGTGCATACAAAGATGTTTCCAAGACCTGGGCCTGCCTAGTATAATACGTACAGATGAAACAAAATATATCCTATCTCCCAGCCATTCAGTAAAGAGAAGATCGCTGGGGTTCCAATCACTAGGAGCCACTAAGAGCCTCTCATTTCTTATGGTCTGCAAAGAAAACAACATGAACCATGAGATAACAAAAGACATTCTTGTTCCTTTGGAACTTGTTTTAAAGTTCTAGATCTTTTTCTGTTGTGGAAGAAAAATCTCCTTCAGGCTACATCTGGGACAGCATTTTTCCCTTTATTTCAGTTCTTTAGTGGGCTAATCAGCCATCTCTGCTGACTCCTAACACCTGTATACTGCTTTCTATGGAAGAAAATAATTTATTTCCCAGGTCCACGGGGGCCTGTACACTCTATTACACAGAGATTAGAATACAACTTAGTTAGGTTTTCGCATTAGGGAACAGAGGTTACAAGCAGTAAGTCTGTTGAAATTGAGTACTTTACATTTTCATGCAAAAAACTAAGCTCCCTCCAGCTTTCTGTCATTTCCTCCATCTAGCATTTCCCAGTGTACCTGGATTTCCTCCTGTTTAATAGAACAGAACTGATTTGATTCATACCATCAACCTCACTGCAGAGCACAATGGAGTGAACTCAGCCTTGTTAATCACAACCTTCCCTGAGTGGGAAGAAAAAGAGCAGCAAAACAGGTGCTGAACCCCTGCCTGGCACCATATGCCAAAAAAGATCACCACCCTTAAGCACAAAACCTTTTTAAAAACATGAAAGCATATAGAAATAGTTGATATCTTAGCTATTACCCAAAAAGCTGCTTGCCAGGAAAACCTAGATTGCTGAAGTCTCAACAAAAGAAAAGCACATTTATTCAGTATGAATACTCCCAAATCACCTTTATTAACACTCCTCCATCTCCAAACACAATTGTTGTTTGGTATTTGAGGATAATAGTGTTGCTATGGAAATCAAGCTAAACTTAGCCCCCATAATCTTGAAAGCAGTCTCTTTTTCCATGGATGGAGGAGCATCAGCACAGGGCAGCTCTGGGAAAAATCTCAGGGGCAACAGGGTTTAGGTTGAAAACCCTTAAGGGAAGCCTTGGGGTAGATGTGAGATGAGGTGACCTTGGAGCAATGGATCCTTGAGCTAAAAAGAAGGCAGACCTATGCTCAAGGCACAGCATTAGTTTATGAATAACATTTAACTAGATCCAACTGTCAAGTAAACTTCAAGATTGGACTGAAATTACAATCCATTCCAAAATAGCACATGCATGTCAATCTTCTGTATGATCCTCTGCAGTGCAATGCCAGTCCCAATTCTTACCTTTTGCTTCCTGTTTAAGTCCTCCAAAATCTAATCTGATCCTTTAGTCTCTACTTTCTTGCTCAAGTCACTACCAGAGTCTTCCCTAATGGTCATTGTCCCTGTGCAAAGGTTTCACTTCAGTCACCTCACAGTTCCAGTCTGAACACCTCTCCACTGTACTATAGGTCACAAACTTCTTAAAGTCAGTCTCAGTTCTGAAACTTCCTCACATGAACCCTATCACAAGCAACCAATTCTCTCAGTTCTTCCTAGCTGTTCTCAGTCTCTGTGATATTCTTGCACCATTTATGACCAACCACTTCTGTCCTGGGCCAGGACTAGCAGCATAAGTAGGGTGCTTCAGTTCTAGTGCTAGGTCATATGAACTCTTCAGTGTCTTTTCCCCACTTGAGCAACTGACAGTCATTTCTGAAAAGGTATCTTCACCATTGCCTTGGGCTACCCTCACAGACCACGTCTCTAATTTACCTGTCTTAGTCTTCATCTTAGGAAAGAGGGGAAATAAAAAACATTAGGAAGACAGGAGGCAGACGAGACTCCAACCCTTTCCATCTACTGAGAATGTAAACATAAAACCTGCCCCTGTGATTTCTATCCTAAAGAATTTAGCATCCATAATTGCTACCAATTGCACATCAAAGTATGCAGGCAAGGTTCCTGAGATCTTATTCTTCTTAGTCTATTTTTTTTAATTTATGTGCCTGTCTCTAGTTCCCCTCTAATAACCACTGAGTTCTGTATTAGATTTCAAAGAGTTGGAGGTCATTTAATGAAAACAGTCAGCTGGTAAAGAAGATTTAAAGTAATGTCACAGACAGAGTGGATGCTAAATAAGCTCATCCTTATATGAGGTATCAGAGAAGCCAAACAAGGAAAAAGGATAATTCACAAAATCTGTTTTACAATAACAGGAAAAAATTTACTTCTGGGTACCACAGCATCCATTCCACAAAAGCCCACCTTCTGTGAGGTCCATATAGCACCGCGCCCAGGAGGAGTTCAGCACAGCCTCAGAAAGAGCTATAGCATTAACTTGATTCAAGGAGTCAGCCAACCACATGACACAAAACCATAGGAAATTAAGCTATCAACATTTTCCTATTTGTAGAAAACTTGTTAGTTTTTCAGTCTCTAAGGAGAACAGAAACTTGCAGCAAAATTCACAACAATATATATAAGAATTGGTGATGATTGTGGTAGCCAAGCAGCTCCTATTGCTAAGTACTGCTGACCCCAAAATATTCTCTCACCTTCTACTCTGTGCAGGAAGCACAGCTTCCTCTCAACCTTCCCTGTAGTGTCCCTTCAACCAGGCAGCCTGGGAAATACACCTTACAGATACTGGTTATAAATGCAGCAAGTACAGAAACATAAGAGAATAAAAGAGTTCAGTGCAATTGCTGATATGTCTTGAATTAACCACATGAGCAGGTCTTTAAGAATCAAGTAACAAGTTAGGATCCTATTGAGTGTGTTTAATCTATCTACACATTTTGTTAAACATACTTAATCTAACTATTTATGAAAACACAAAAATAGACGAGTTCATTCAGCTAAATGGTTAGAGTTAAGTCCTACAATCAAAAAATTTTTCTACTCAACACAAGCAGGCCAGATTTAGGTATCTAAAAGCCAGAATTTTAAGATAATACTGCATGTACATTCAATTCCAAAAATTATGTACTTTATCGAGGAAAACAGAAATCTGCACTTTAGCAATGCAGACATTCATTCATGTGCATGAACAGACATTCAGTTTATACAAACAGTTCCCGGAGCTGAGAAGGTAAAACAGCTTTTCTTTTCAGTTTCATACTTCTTCCTTTGGAGTAGAAGGAACTTAACTGATTTCCAGTAAACCTGGAGTTAAATATATCTACATAGTATATAACTCTATAGATAAACATATATCTACTCATAGTCATAATGTATTTACATATATAAATGTAAATGTCATATTGTATATACATATATAAATAATCTGTAACTTCTCACAGGAACTAAAATACAGAATGGCATTTTGATCAGATGCCCAAGGCAAATCTTTCCTGCAGCACTGGAATATGATAGATTTTACACTGCACCTCAATTTCCATTCACTGATCTCCACGTTTTCCTTTAAATTTGCTATCTTAAATCATAGTATTCAAATGATCATTAGCTGCTTATTAAAATAATATTGTTGGGAAGTTGCAAATCTGGTCAGGTAACATTTCAAGGCTCTGTTTTCCCAATGGCTTACTGAAAGTACAGGGAAGCTATAAAATTAATTTAATTCATTCTTTCTGCTAACTTACAGGATCAGGGAAAATATTTATTACTTATTAACTTTCAGTTAATGCTCCTGATGATAAAATACAGGGAGGCTAAAATTTCAAAGTGAAACATTTCCCAATGGCTAAATTAGTTTTCCACAAGAAGCGACACATACATGCCTGGTCAGAAACATTACTGCCAAATAACCAGTTTTACCTACACATAATCTAGGTTTTCTAAGTCTAAATTTGTAAACACCAAAAGAACCTACTCTGCTAGGATTCCCACCTGATATTAAGTTTCATGACTTCATTGCACTGAGACTCACAGTATTTTTAGAACTGCAAGATATCTGATACTCCCCAGACCACTATGTAAGGAAGCTTTAATCCTGCTACATGAAAGTTCTGCATAGTTAAAGCCATCGCTAAAGCACCAACCATAACCAGAGCTGTTACAATTAGGACATTATATTTAAAATGGAGCATCACAGAGATCAGCATCTACCAGCTCAAACTTGGACTACAATTGCATCAGTACGAACTCGCTCTCTGCTAGCTAGCCACTGCAAGCTACACATCTCATCAGCTCAGGCATGCTGAAAACATAACATACTGCTCCGGAGCCTTGAGTCAGGACCGCTGCTTTAGATCACAGGTATACCTATTGCTCAGAATTTGTGGGTATCTCTGCACTGTGCTACATTGCACAGCCAGCAGAACATTCCTAACAGTCACTGG